ATTTCCAACAATTGTACACAAGAAAACCAACAAAAATCCCCCAAAATTCCTTGCACATGGCCAGCAACCCTTGGGAAGAGAAATTGATACATATTTTTCAAACATAATCTATGAAATCATGGAAAAGTGTTGGCAAGTACCCCCAAAACATGGAACCATGCCTCCACCCAAAGTTCACTCCTAACCAAATCCTAACTAGATCATGATTAATTGTATAATTAAGGCCTCTAATCATTCATCATGCCATTAGATTCCAAGTAAATCTAAAATATCCAATCCAATTCCAATCAATGGGCACTTTAGACCTTTTGCACCAATTTTCCTATAAAAGAAACCTCACCATTAGCATTTTACATACAAGAACACACCGACAAACACTTCATTCAGCTGAGAGGAAGAGAGGGGAAGAGGGTGAGCTTGGTGGAAGAAAGGAAAGAAAGAGAAAGTCTTGTTAGTTAACCAACCAAGCCTCAAGTAAGCCACAACACAACTTTTCCTCTCCGCCCCCCTTTTCAAATACATGTTGTTAGAGTCATGAAATAATATTTTCAGATGTGTTTTAATGTTGTTCATGTGTTCAAAGTTGATGAATTGGGCTTTATCCTTTTTCTACTCATATTTTCTCTTAATAGATGCAAAACTACCTTTTTCTTTCCATATCTCCCATTATTTCCAAAGGCATACCATCACTCTAAAAATTTGAGTTATTGATATATTATTTAGTATGTTTCCATCACAAAAGAAGTAGAAAATTTTCCTTAGTCGGACTCTTTTCTCACCAACCTTCTTATTTTGAGTATTTTGCATGAAAAACCTGTTTTACAACTAACTTTCAAAAAATTTAGAAAAATGTAGAAAAAACTCTTGGACCTTAGTTTTATGTCAAAAACTTCCTTAAAGAGTTAGCTTTCAAGGAAAATTGGTTTCATTGAAAAAGAATGAGCGGTTTGAAAGAAAATCTAATTTTTGTAACGGTCAACGAATTTGGAAGCGCTGGAGTGTTTCTTAAATAACTAAAAAACTAGAAAAGCTATTCCATTTCTAAAATATGTTCTGAAAACTAGATGAAATTCTCTACAAGCCATAGGAAGGCCAGGTTCTGAGAAAACCTATTTAACCCTTTTGATTTTAATATTTAAATGGTATTGAATCTGGAAATTTAGTTTTGCATGGGTGTTTTATACTCTTGTGTTCATGAATATGCTTATTAGTACATGATCATGTATTGGTATGATATTGCATGTGTTATGGTTATATTCCTTATCTTCTTCAATTGATGATGTTCATGCTTATGTGGATATTACTATCTTGTTAAGTTGTTCTAACTTTATTTTAAGACATCTAATTCAATGGAAACCTTAATTGGAGTAGTATTGGGTTTTCGATCACTTGGATAATGAAGAGATGATAATATGTTATGTATGGATTGATACGATGTGCTCCCTAATTGAAGGTTAAGTCTTGCGCAAGCGATTGTCACGTAAACCCTAGAATGGAACGGTCGTATTCAGACTCTTTGCGATGGTTTGATTGGTGAGATAAGGTTGGGTCCAGATGGGACATTCAGGAGGATAAAACCTTTTTGGAAGGATAATGTTGGATTTAGGGTGATAAAACTTTTTTTTCTTTTTGCCGTCCCTTTTGAGGCCCTGCGGTTGGCGTTACACAGTATATAATCGTCGGTAGGTATCCGAAGTAAGTTCTGCAACAAAGCAGCAAAAGAGAGAGTTTTGAATACTCTGGTGTCCAATTCTTGTGGTTGGGAGAATGAAATCTCTTTGAGGGATTTTTAGATTACTAACATCTAACCTTGTAATCCTTTATTATTGAATGATTGTCATGCTTCATTACTTACTTGTTATAATTGTGATGGTGTATTGGATTAGGAAAAATAGACGGGGGTGTATGTGCGTTTACAAGGCATTCAAAGCTCATGGCGTTTCATGTCAGGTATTAAAGACTATTAAACCAGTCGAAGGCAAAACTAAAGCATTTGAAGACGCATGGCTATCCTATGAGTTAGAAACTAGTTATGTAAACACGTTTTGAGTTTGTAAGTGATTAATCCTTAATTATTATATATATCATTTGTAACCTATCTGTATACTCTGTCAACTCATGTAGGCCTTGTGTTAATACTTTGTCAAGATCTGTCAAAAAGGTAACTTTGCTATCTAAGGCGGTTGGACTTAGAAGGGAGGCTATATTGACTTCTCTGACCTTTTCTAAGATTTTGCTTGATTATTAACCAAAGGACTTACTCGTGACATTTCCTACTCTTGTAACCTTAGATAAACCATATATTTATTTGTTAATATACTATCTGATGTTCCCGATTTTTGGGGTGTCACATTTTCTATCTGTTGAAATACTAAGACCATATCTATTCAAAATTTTCTATTTTCTTCTATCTCTCTCTCACTCATTTGTTCAAAATCATCATCAACAACAACAAATCTTAACTGTTCATCACCAAAAACATCACCAATCTTATCCATTCATCATTATCATCATCATCTACAGCAACAGCATCAGCATCAAACAAACAGTAGTTGTTCATAATCAAAATCAAATAAAATATACATATACATATACACATTCATAGGGGTGTGAGAGAGAGATATCAATGTATAGTTTGTGGCAAAGATGATGGGTAAATCCAATTTTGTTTAACAACAACAAATTTAATCGATAAAAAAAATATATAAAAATAAAAAAATTGAACAGATAAAATCTAAAAAATTGAACAGATCTGTTCTGAGGAGTTAGGATATTTTTCAACCTATCTGCTAGGATTTCTGTGTTTATTTTTTCCTTCTCTTCAGATCTGAAGAGATCCCTCTGATCAAAGTACTTAGTTCCTTTTAATATGAGTTTATAAACTGATTCGCTGAAAAATTGAGATAGAAAAATGAAAACTCAAAAAAAAAAGAAATTAACATTTCTTATCAAAATAGCTCTTAATTGTTCCATATCCTCACCGATCAAAGAGCTCTCTTTCTCCACAAAGTCAAATCTGAGAAAGCTCTGATTTCGATTTTGACGATTCGTTATCTTGATCTCGTCTACACCACTACGGCTCTACATCATTGTGTTTGGTGAGTTGTGTAGGTAATTTAATTCAAGGATATACTGGTAATTAAAAAAAAATTGGAATAATGGTGTGAATTGAAAGAATAAGTGATGTGTAAATAGAGGCTCCCCAAACCATATGAATAAAATGAATTTTACCAAAAAGAAAATGACACGTATGTCGTCTTTTATTTGTTATTCATCCAAACACAATGATGAAAAATTACAATCATATTTTTTTTCCCACCCAAATGAAAAACCATATTCTTACAATTTCTTTTTGGGAAAATAACTAATAAGTCCTATTTTACTTTTAAGATTACTATCAAGTCCTATCAAATTTCAATATAGACAACTAAGTCCTAATTTTTATAACATATTTCCAAAAAAATCATTGCTCCATAATAGTTGATGTTATCTCAATTTTACCTCTCATTTAATATGAACAACAATTTCATAAATATTTTTGATCTAAGTAAAATAATATTTTTTAATTGTAAAAATAATGATATTATTTTTAAAAAATCACAAATAAAAATGAAAAAATTACCAATAAATTATGTTTTGTATTGAAAATTATTATTGAATTATATCAAATTTCAATACTATTAACAAATAAATCTTTTTTTTATTTATAAATAGTTATAAAAAAATTCAATTGTTCAAAATAGTATATTTTTACTTTCATTTTATCTTTTTCATTAAAATATGAACATAAAATTTCATAAATAATTTTACTTTATTAGAAATTTTATAATTAAATTATTTTTAATTTTTCAAATTAAATGATTTTTCATAAACAAAATTATAAGCATAAGATTAATAATTTTGCAACTAAAAATTTAAATTTTAATTAAGTTAAAATTATTTATAAAATTTTTGTTCATATTAAATACGAAAGGTAAAATTGGGATAAGACACAATATGGAGCAATGAATCTTTTCAGAACCTTTTATCACAAATAGAACTTACTTGTCCATATTGGAACTAGATAAGACTCTAACACTATGTTTGGAAACCTAGGAGAGAAAAGAAAAGAAATGATTACTTAAGTAATAAGAGAAAAGAAAAGAAATGAAGGGATTGTGATTTCTCTCCTTTTTGTTTGAATAAGGAAGAAGTAAAAGAAAAGAAATGATTGTGATTTCTCTTATTCTTGTTTGGTTAGGTTTCATTAAGAGAAAAGAAAAGAAATTATTGTATGTTATATTACCAAAATAACCTTTCTATATTTTCAATCATTTTATTTCTTTTATTTTTATAGGGACAAAATTGATATTATAAAAATAATGATTTCTTTTCTCTCCCAATCTCTCTATTTTTGAGAAGATTGAAAATGAGGCTTATAAGAGAAATGAGTTTCTTTCAATTCTGCAACTAAAAATTTAAATTTTAATTAAGTTAAAATAATTTATAAAATTTTTGTTCATATTAAATAGGAAAGGTAAAATTGGGATAAGACACACTATGGAGCAATGAATCTTTTCAGAACCTTTTATCACAAATAGGACTTACTTGTCCATATTGGAACTAGATAAGACTGTTAGTAATCTTAAGAGCAAAATAGGACTTATTGGTTATTTTCCCTTTTTTTACCTAAATTTTAATCAAACTGACTAGAAGAATCTGATTTTGTTCATTTACATTTATGATTGCTGAACATTTTTTCACCTTCTGATTAGTTCACTTACTAAGATCGATTGCTCTAGAAATTTTAATTAGGAGGTAGGTTTACATCACTGACCATAATGTGGACGAATAAAACTATTGTCCCTATTAACTAATGTTTTATCTCGAACTTTTGCCATCTCATCAATGTCAGGGATGCAAACTGCTGAGCTAATACTTCAATTTTATCTTCTCATTCAACCACTAAAGATTCCTCAGACCATAGGAATTGTTTGATAAAAGTGAAAATTAATATTTGATTGTATGTTTACTTTGTTTCCCATTTTGTTTTTTTTCCTTCTTGTTTTTGAGAACAAATACAATAAGTGTGAATAAGTATACACATACCTTGGTTATCATAAAGGCAAGGCAGGGCAATCGATTGAGCCGCAAGTGCATAAGGTCTAATGCAGTAGTACTCACCACATAGTGGAAAAAGAATATGGTACATCATCAAGATTTGTTGTCAAAGCCAATTTGCTCGAAGCCTTCTTAATTGTTAGCATTCATCAACATGCAGGCTAGCTGAAGAGATGCGATTAGAAATAAATGTTAGGGAATCCACAGCAGGACATTAGTTCTCAAAGTCAACAGTAGTCAAGTTTTAAGGAGACGAAATCACGATTTTATATATATATATATACATATTTTTTCCTTAAATGTGGAGCTCTTAAGAATATTAAAGACAAGATACCTTCACGAAAATGTCTAAATCAGTCTTTTGTTAAGACTCAGCCCAACTAAAACCAGGATTCTTCTGTATTTGTTTATCCCTCATCAATTTTCTAATTTGTTCTGATTTTTCCCACTCCCCAGAAGTCGCAAATATGCTTGAGAGCTGCACATAAGCACCTAAATTATCAGGATCAAGATCTGTAATTCGCTCTGCCACTTTCTTGCCAAGACTCCTGTTTCCATGAGCTATACACCCTCTCAAAATTGATGACCACATGCTTGCATCGACCTCAAATGGCATCTCTTCAATGAGATTCATAGCTTCTTTAAGGCATCCTGCCCTTGCATAAAGATCTACCATACATGAGTAGTGCTCAATCCCGGGATCAACATGATAGTCATGTTTCATTGTATAAAACCATTTCTTTCCCTCTTCAACCAGTCCACAATGATCACAGGCAGACAAAACCCCTGTAAACGTAACATCTGTGGGAACAACACTTTCACACCTCATTTCATTGAATAGTTCCAATGCTTCAATTCCATAACCATTTGTAGCATAACCCATCAACATAGAGTTCCATGAAACTTCATCAGATTTTCTCATTTGGTCAAACAGTTTTCGTCCATTTTCAACAAAACCACACTTGCAATACAAATCAATGAGGGAGGTAGAAACAATTTGATCCAATTCAAGGCCAATGACAGTAGCTCTAGCAAAAACCTGTTCACCAAGTTCGAGTGAAGAGATGCTAGCACAGGCACTGATCACACTGGCCAGGCTAAATTTGTCGGTACTCAAGCCCATCTTATTCATCTTGCAGAAAACATCTAATGCTTCGATTGGACAACCATTTTGACTTAAACCCACTATCATTGAATTCCATGAGATCAAGCTTTTAGTTTGCATGGTCTCGAAGATTTGTTTGGCATCTTTAATTCTCCCACAATTGGAATAAACAGTGATCATAGAATTCAGCAAAATTGTGTCATGCACTTTGAGCTCTCTAAACAATTTGCAGGCATTATTTGGGCTTCTACATTTGGCATATGTGTCAACAAGAGCACTAGCAATGATAAGGTCATCGATGATTCCAAACTTAAATGCATGAGCATGCATTTGCCTGCAATATTCTTGAATGCCTAAGCTACTACACGTGCTCAAAACACTGGCAAAAGTAGAGGAGTCTTGTTGAATTCCATTTTTTCGCATCTTATTGAAAATAACTAATGCTTCATTTCCTTCATCATTAGCAACATACCCTGCTATCATGGTGTTGCATAACACAACACATGGATCATTTTTAGTATCGAAAATTCTTCTTGCATCTTCCATTCTACCACAATTTGCATACCCTGAGATCAATGCTGAAAGAGAGAAGTCATCTGGATCTTGCATCATAGTCAAAACATGACTTGCACTATCCATATCGCCGGACTTCCCATAGAAGTTGATAAGAGAACTTGCTAAGACGGAGTCAAATTCGACTTCATCAATAATGATTCGAGAATGGATTTGCTTCCCACAATCAAGAAATGCCAAATCAGTACAAGCACCAATAACCGTCGCCAAAACAAACGTATCTCCATGTGATTCTTCATATGGGTCTGAACTCAATTCCTTAAACATCCTCACAGCTTCTCTTGGATGACCATTCCTCGCATACCCATGAATCATTGAATTCCAAGCAATCCCATTCTTCCTGGGCATCTTATCGAACAGGCCCCGAGTAATCTCCAACTCACCTGCTTTTGCAAAACCCGAAACAACCAAATTCCATGAAAAGGAATTCTTGTGGGGCATCAAATCAAACAATTCAAGTGACTTTTCCTTGATTCCTGCTTTCATATAGCCTTCAATCATAGTGTTCCAAGTGAAACAGTTTCTCTGAGTCATTTCATCGAACAATTTGTGTGCTTCAGTCATGTGGCCGCATCTGATGTACATCTGAAGGAGGCGGTTTCCGATAGTAAGAGCAGAACTGAGGACACCCCTTTTGAGGAAAAGGAGGTGGAGTTGTCTCCCTTGTTGAATCCATTGGTGGGTGTTGAGGGATTGCAGTAGACGAGCACAGGCATGCAAATCAAGATCCATTTTGACGAACACAATGGTAGATAAACGTTGGTTACTTGGTTACTTGTTTTGAAGCTTGAGGGTTCGATATTTGGGGGGAAAAGTGAATGAAGGTCTTGTAATTGCGATGAACCGGAAATAAAACAGACGCTGAACCGGCAAGGAGGCCAACGTCCGGGTTGTGGGGCATACCCTTTTTTGTTTTGGTAAATTACAGTGACACCCCCTGATATTTATATTTATTATAGTTTCTCTTCTCACTTTTTAGAAATTACATCTCCCTCCTTGAAGTTTAAAGTTTCATTACAGATTCCTACCCTCAGCAATTTAATTTTTTTAAATACTAATTTTGCCCTCACTGGATAAATTATATTGACACCCCTCAAATTTTAAAAATTATTTTTCTCTCCCTGAGGTTTAAAGTAGCATTACCAATTGCCCCCTCGATTAGTATTAATTGAAAAAAAAATTCATTGAAAAAAAAATTAATTGGGAAAAAAATTATTTGAAAAAAAAATTTGTTAGTCAAATTTTTAAATTTCTGTTTAAAAACCAACGTAAACTCACTCATTTTTTGAATTTACCTTTTTTTTCTCAAATTTACAAACTGAGACGACAATTTATAAACTAAAAAAATTATCAAACAAGTTTTTATGACAGTTTTTAAAATTTTTATAAATATAAATTGAAAATTAAAAACAAAATAGTTACCAAACAGGCCTCAGATGGTGAAAATGTCGTAAAATTAACAAATAATTAAATAAGTTAGCAATGTAAGAAATGACTTATCAAAAGATTCTTACACTATGTATAGTTTGATTTTTAGAAAAAAATTTAAAAATTAAAAATTAATTTGGTTAAGAAATAAAAAATAAAAAATAATTATCATTTAAGGGTAAAAAATAATTATCATTTTAACTTTTGGGCAGGTTATATATAATACGAAATTTTCTTTTTGTAAATTCTCTATTCACAATAATTTTTTAACTAATTTTAACTAAAAAACAAGTTGTTATTTTCTTTACACAAGAAATTTAATATTTTTATGTTTTAACAATTTTTATGCTAAACAAAAAGGTAAAACTTTCATATGTATGTGTATGTTTTTCCTTTTCTTCCATTGACTTTGAACCTTTTTTGTCGTAATCAAACTTAATGCAGATTGTAATCTTCTCGCTTTGCATCAAATTACTGCACTCAATTGATTTACAAAATGGGATTTTTACAATGAAGTAAAATCATAATACAAAAATAAATAAATAAATAAAGGGATGGGTCCAAAGAAAAAAAGGGTGACAGTATTAACAATACTCTTATTTTTTTTGATAGGATAAATTACACTCACCTTCTTTAAGTTCTAATATTTTTTTTTTTATCCTTAGATTTATTTTTCTACTTTGACCTAAAATATTTTTAATTCTTTTTTTCAATTTACGCTAATAGTTAACTTATATCCAATTTTGGACCCAAAAAAAAAAAAACTACATCGTCAACCAAGTGGCACCATTTTAGCAAAGAGGTAGCATAATAACACTTTATTATATAAACTAGCATTATATAAATTTGGTAAATCACATTTGGCCTCCTTAAGTTATAATATTTTCTCTTGTTGACTCTTAAAAAAAATTTTCTCAATTTGACCCTTACTGTTTACAAATTTTTCCAATTTATTCCAACAATCAATGTCCCTCCAAAATTAGACAAATTGTAGCCACGATGATCCTAATTCAAACCTCACAATCCATCATCATTTTCTTTCTTCCAAATGCACTAGTATCAATTGAATTTGAGACAATGATGTTCAAGGGTGTCAATTTAAAAGGGGTTCCGGTGGTAGATATTTGATGGTGATTTTGAGATGTTGGTGGTATTAGTGATGAGATAGAGTATGGAGATGGATGATGGTATTATTCAATTATAAGTGATAGCAAATCAGTAGCAAGTATATGAGGATTTTAGTTGATAGAAATGTTTTTTATTATGTGATATTTTGTTAAAAATGGGAAAATGAGAAATAAATGTGAAGATGTCCCTAGTCTTGGACCCGAATTGAATGTGCCTTTCGGACCTATCTTTTTTCCTGTTCGGTACCTTGATAGTTTGTGTCACGTTGATGTTTGAGAGTTTGGACTTGTTTAATCCACTTAACATTAGACCGATTTAAATATTTTGAGTTTCGGGCGTAGGGACAAAACTGAGGGGACTGAGATCACCTTGAGAAGTTCAGGTTGAGTTGAGTGGAACCGCACGTGCGGATTGAGGGTCGCACGTGCTGGGTTGAGCTGGGTTGAAGTTTTGGTTCTGCTTTAATTGCACATGCGATGGGAAATTCCGTACGTACGGGAAGGGCTCCGCATGTGCGATGCGGCCAGGCGTGTGAAACTATCTCGAATTTCGTGCTTTTCAGCCATTTATTGATCATTGGCTCCTCTTTCTCTCATTTCAAAATATATATCTCTCTCTCTCTACAATCTTTTCTCTCTTTTCTCTCATCCCTCTATACCCAAACCCTCAAAACTGTTCATTTTCTTTTGATCCCATGAATCCATTGGAATTTTGGTACTAGTTCCTTATACTAAAATGACAAGCATACCGAGGGCTTTGTTTTGACCGGTGGGAATTCCGACAACGTTGAATTTTGGCTTTCCTCCTCTTCTCCCTTTGAGGTAGGAATTTCTTTAATCTTTTTCAATACGTTGTCTATAGATAGACATGTGGTAGGTTTATTGCATAAAAACCATGTTCGTTATGGATTTTTTCGAAAATCATGAAAGGGGATCTAAGACTTGATATTTGAGATTGTGATTTGCGAAATTGATTGTTGTTTAGGTTAATTGGGGAGTAGTTTAACATGTTCATGTTGAGAAAGAGGTAAAGCCCTAATTTTTGTAATAATGCCTAATAGGTAAAAAGGGTTGAAATTGTGAAATAATCATGTTATGAATTAAGGAATTTGATTAATGATTTGGTAATTAATTTGAGATTAAATCAGGTCTTATGATTTTAGCATTAACTTTGTGTTGGGTTGATTATAGTTGAGTATGACAAATTGATAATTGTTAATTGCTAAAAAGGGGGTTAACCATGAGATTAGAATCATTAAGTTACACTTTTATAGTCGAAATTGAGTCGATTATGACTTTGTTATCCATAAATTGGGTTTTTGGTTAAATAAAGGAAATGAGTTTTCTTGAAAATATAGTTGGTGTATTGTGAATTGAGAACTATGGAAATTGATTTTGGAAAGAAGAGGTAATTATAACTCTTTTGCAAATTAAGAAAGAACTTTAGGTAGAAGTTGAAAACCTTTGAATATTATTGTTATTGTTGGACTTAATGCCTCATAAGAATTGAATAATTGTATTGCGTGTATTTAATACCTATTGTTTAGAAGTTTTGTCCTTGGTCATCGGTGGAGGATGACATTGTGATGTTGAAATGATTACGTATATATAGTACACTCGAGTTATTTATGCTTATTGTACAAAGTGATGGTTGGAAATTGTGCACGCGCTGAGAATATGAGGTACCAGTACCTTCCAGTTAGCGCTCAGAGAACTTGGCCGCGCTAAGAATAAGAGGTACCAATACCTTCTAATTAGCGCCTGGAGAACTTGGCAGAGGTACCATTACCTTCCAGCCGGTGTCTGGAAAATTGGCATTTTGTTGTGAAAAGATGTACCGTTGGCTTACCGTGCTTGAAGCAGGTAAAGTAGAGTTGTTCATTATTATTGTTTTCAATGTGACTATGATATGTCATGTGTTATGATGATTGTGGTTCTGGGAGACCAAGTTGTCTTAAAAGTTGAGTAGGTAGTGGTTGGGTGCATGTTGTTTTCATCTCTTGAGTTAAATGGTTATGTGTACATGTAGGTGCATCGAATTGATTGTTGATAGTATTTTCCTTAACCTTGGGTTTAAGTCATGGAAATGTGATAAATGTATTTATGCATTGAGGTTGTAAGAAACAAGGAAAAGAAAATCGGATCTTTGTGATTTGTTTCAAAAGCAAGGCGATTATTATGTAATACTTTGTTAAAAAACTGGAAAATACGGTTATTATGTGATATTTTGTTAAAGATGAGAAAATGAGAAATAAATGTGAACTGGTTGTGTTGTTGAATAAATTGGATGATTTTAAAAAATGGAAATACGCTTATTATGTAATATGTATACTCTGGTTATAAACTGTCATAATATGTATATGTTATAATGTGAAGCATTTATGATCATAGTTATCTGTATGTTGTTTGTAATGCCCCAACCCTTCACATATCATCGATATTGTCCGCTTTGGGCCACGCCCGCACAGATTTGTTCTTTCCAGTGAGTCACCCATCCCAGAACTACTCTAACCTAAGCACGCTTAACTGGGGAGTTCTGCTAGAGATTTCACCACTCGGGAAAAGGCCTCGATGCTATATAAGGGTCCAGGTTTTTATTTTTATAACCCAGGAACTCCCCTCCATTCCCGATGTGCTGGGCTATAAAAATAAAAACCTGGACCCTTATATAGCATCGAGACCTTTTTTCAAGTGGTGAAATCCCTAACAGAACTCCCTAGTTAAGCGTGCTTAGGCTGGAGTAGTTCTGGGATGGGTGACCCACTAGAAAGAACAAATCCGTGTGGGCGTAGGCCAAAACAGACAATATCGATGACATGTGAAGGGTTGGGGCGTTACATTGTTATTGTTTAGGATCATGTTGGAATCCCTACTGGACTTTACGTTCATCCCACGTTGCTAATTCTTTTCAGGTGATGTTAAGAAGTGCTCGAGATCGAGGATCACCCTTAGTTATTGGCCACGGGGCCTTCTCATTTGTGGACGGAATGCCGTTTTTGTAAAAGGGTTAAACCCTTTCTTTTACTTTTAAAGATGTAAGCCTACGGACAATTTATTTAGTTATACTCCTATTGCATTCATTTTGTATTCGGATAAGAGAATCTTTATTTATTCTTTCTCATCGATGTAAAGAATTTCCGCATGTTATCTCTAAAATTGAATTAATTTAATGATTTTGGTAATGGATTTCGAGTAATGAAAAGTGGGGCGTTACAACTTGGTATTAGAGCGAGCTGGGTTTGGATACCTTGGACTCGTGGGAAGTGGTTTTTACCACAAAGGGTTTACTATGC